GTTAAATTTTCTCTCTTTCCCTTCCAACTCTGAAAGTTTCTCTTCTGAAATTTCTTCCCTTTTGCAAAGTAGAGATCCATGCTGCCTTTTTGGTGAAGGCCTGATCACAGAAGGAAAAAGTGATCTGTCCCATAGCCAAGCTCAGGGAGATGCAGTTCAGGCCTCTTGTGAAGTCTTTATATATCTGCACACTGCCATTGCAGGTGCTGCTTTTGGACACATTTTCCTGATGTTTGTGTTATGATCAGTAACTCATAGGTTTAGAAGGCTTTTCAGGAACTAACAGCCATGTATACAATTGGCTCTCCAAGGAAGCATAATCTGAGCCCTATGTATGCATTCATTCACATGATGCATTTCATTCACATGATTTGAAAATCCAAAATCATAAAAGGATATATAGTGAAAAATTTCTTTTCTACCCTGTTCCCGCTTCCATCCACTTCCCCTCTCTGTGGGCAGTCACTATTATACCATTTCTTGTGTGTTTCCAGAAATATTTTATAGATAAGCCAGTACAGATATACCTACACACTTTTGCACCTTTTTTCCTTTGATGATGTACATCCTTGGACTCTTCTCGGATGAGCATATTAAATGCTGCTTCATCCTTTGTTAGATGTGAATAGTATTAATTTGTATGGATGCACTTTAATTTTTTGAACCAGTCCTTTATAGGTGGACAATTAGGTTGTTTCCATCTCTTGGCTGTTATAAACTGTGCTGGTTTCAACAGCCTTATTATTTCTCATATATATGAGTTGGGTAAATCCCTGTAAGTACAATCCAAGGTCAAAGGGCATATGATTTAGTTTTGATAGATACTGCCCAACTGCCTTCTACTGAGTTTGGACCTGTTCCTATTTCGACTCTCAGTGGATGTGTGGGGCCTGTTTCTAATCTGCATCAGCCCAGCATGTTGCCACACATTTGTGTTTTAAACAGGGTTTGGGATGCACCCCTTTCATAATTTGAGAGCAGAAAGAATTCCCAGGGAGGGTACTCATCAAATGTCATGTCAAGACCTCAAAGCTCTGAGCCCAGCCACCTGGCTTCGTGCTTGATAGCCATGCAGCCTTGGCAGAGTGGCTGGACATCAGTTCTGTAGTAGTATTCTATTTGTAAAATGAGGATAGTAATAGCTTCATGGCTCCTTCAGCTAGTCCATGTCAAGGGTTGGAACAGCGCTTGGTACATAGAGAAGCCCTTGAATTCCTGGACTCAACCAATCCTCCCACCTCAGCCTCCCACCAAGTAGCTACCAGTGTGCATTACCACACTCAGCTAATCTTTTTAGAAAGTTCTTCTAGAAACCTGGCTGCCCAGGCGATGTTCCTGCCTCAGCCTCCTGAGTAGCTGGACTTTCAGCAGGAGCCCCCCTGCCCAGCTAAATTTTTTTTTCATAGAGACAGGGTCTTTCTATGTTGCCCAGGCTGACTGCAAACTCCAGGCCTTAAGTGATTAAGATTTTTCTTTTTTTTAAATAATTGCAACACCCTACTCTGGGACCTGGCCTTGTAGAACCCTGCCTCCATCAGCTGACCCCAGGCAGCCCTGGCATGCCATGAGTTGTGGTGGACACACTGTATCTTTCCATGGCAGCTGCCTTCCTGGCCCTGTGTGCTGAGGATACCACTCCTGTGGGCAACTGTTCCTCACACCACCCAGCTGCTCCTGCAGTCACCCAGCCACACTGTGACCAGAGGGCAGGAAGGCCACCTCTGAACAGCAGGGGCCCTAAGCCAGGACTAGGCATTGTACACTCATACAGGAAGGAAGTTCTGATGTTTTAGCAGGAAGAACCCGGGCTTCAACTTTAGTTACCAAGACAAGACCTAAATTAGAAAACCATGAGAGAGAGAGAGTCAGGACCCACAATCATGTCTCTCTTGGCAGCTCCAAGGTCAGCCTACTCTGCGTGAATACAAACCTCCTCATACTCTTCTGCTTCCTCCCCACACCCAGAGCCAGAATGAGGCTGGCTCTCTCCAGCTCATTGTCTTCAGCCTTCTCAGGCCTGGGTTGCTGGCCAGAATACTGACACAGTGAGCTAGCTGCTTCCCAAACTGAGTTAGCTGTTACCAAGCCAGTGGGTGGTAGAGCACAGTTCTTGTCACCTGTCACTGGTAAATGAATTTAAAACTCCTGCTGAAAGGAAAGAAATATGGGGCAGATGCAGACAGCTTCCAGCTGCTACAAAGCAAATGTGGCTCCCTTCAAAACATCAGCTAACCCACCCAGCCTTTGGAGTATTTATTTGCAGTCTCTGCAGCCAGAGGGAGAGGCTCCTGAGAGAAGAGGTCATGGCAGAGCCATTTAGGGAGTTCCTGCCGTGGGGAAAGGTTTATCTTCTCTATGTCAGCATCAGAGGTAAAGGATTATTTTCAAAAGATAAGAGTATCTCATGGGCAAAAGAGGACCTGACATCCCCAGTGCCTTCTTACAGTTCATCCCTCCTAATCTTATCATATAGTATGTGCAGGGAGGATGTGTTAGCTTTTGACAGTGGTAACAAAACACCATAAACTTGAGCGCTTACAACATTTACCATCTCACAGGTTCTGTGGGTCAGGAATCTGGGCAGGGCTGAGTTCCGGGATCCCACTGAGTTGTGATTCAATGTGGACCAGGGTGGTGGTCTCATCAGAGGCTCAACTGGGGAAAGATCCACTTCCAAGCTTCCTAACATTGTTGGCAGATTTCATCTCCATAGGCCTTCACAGTGTAACTGCTCACCTCTCCCCAGCCAGCAAAGGGAGTCTTTCCCTTGTCAGCTCAGATAGAATCTCCTATAATGTAACCTAATCAGGGAGTGACCTGTCACCTTTCCCATACTCCCTTGGTTAGAAGCTAGTCACAGGTTCTACCCACAGAGGCATTAACACCGGGAGACAGATCATGGGGGTTAGAATTCTGCCTACTACAGGGAGGATACAGCCTTATCAGTAATGTTTCAGAAGTATTCCCAAGTGAAGGCACAGCCTGTAATATGGAGTCAGTGTTTTCTCTTCAAAATGAAGCAGTGTAGGGTCACAGCCCTACAGGGTCATGGGGTGTCCCCTATTGCTGTGCTGAGGTGCTGGATCTGAGAAGTAAAGTGACAGGACACAGAAGGACTGGAAAAGACAGCTGGGCTTAGGGGGGGGCATGCCACTTACAAGTGGAGACAGGTGAGGCCCCAAACGTCCAGAAGCATCTGTATTAAGACAGGGAAGGGTCGTGAGTGAGATCATCTATGATGATAGGGCATACATAATCATGTGAGTAGCAAATGAGGGGACCACCCCATTAGGTCACCTAGTCAGAGAGGTGGGCTGTGTGCAGTAGGAGGGCTGTCCCCAAAAAAAGGGGGTCCACCCCTCTTAGGTCACCGAGGCAAGGAGGTGAGCTGTGTGCAACAAGTGCCATGCACAACACTTCTTATCTGGGGGCTGGAGACTTCAGAGGATTCCTATAGAAGGATGCTGTAAACCAATGCAGTGGGAGCTGAGAGTGTGCTCTTCTCTAAGGTATCTTATAGGAGGATGATTAGCCAGCACAGTAGCAAGAAAAACTGACGGTGTACAGCCGCCATGGTACAATGACACCAGAGGGGTTCTTCTTCCTCAGTTGTTGGTGGGATCTCAGGCCTGAGGCCTACTTTCCACAAGAACTGGATGCAAGGTACTGCAACTGCTTTTCAGGAGGAATAACTCTTGCTCCACACCGACCATGCAGCAGGTACTGAGCGCTGCCATCTAGACCCTGACCTTCCATATAGCATCTGCCCTTTCAGGCAGGGATGCTACCTCCTGGGTCATTGGTTCTGGTCTGGCTGTTTTTCCCACATACTTGCTTCTGCTGTGACTGCTCTAGGCATTCTTCCTACTACAAAGTATATATGGTTATATATAAGGATTATATAAATCAGCACTAAATATCTGTACAGCTCCAACTACAGTCCGTTATATGATTATATACCTAAGCTAGATATAAGTAAGCAGTAAGTTATACTTCAGGCAATAATTGTGCCTGGGGTCTGCATAGCTCTCCTTCCTTGGTGCCTATGTGAGGGGTTACCCACAAGCAGTTTTGTTCTTTTCCTCCCATCTCAGGATGCCTTCAAATCCTGACATCCTCAACAGCCCAGTACTCTCTGCCACAACCTGATTCCAACTCTAGCTCTCTTGATTATTGGCTATATGTTATTGAGAAAAGGTGACTTTCTGGGGGAAGGGCTTATCCTGAATCTCTATTTTCTTATCTGTGAGAATGTATTCCACTAAGATTTTGCAGGATGGTAGCACATAATAGTTGTCACTTATTAAATAATTCCAGCACCTTTCCTTGTCACTTATTAAATTATTTCCCTGTAAATAATTCCAGCACCGTTCCTTCCCCGTCTTAATACAGATGCTTCTGGACGTTTGGGGCCTCACCTGTCTCCACTTGTAAGTGGCATGGCCCCCACAAGCCCAGCTGTCTCTTCCAGTCCTTCTGTGTCCTGTCACTTTACTTCTCAGATCCAGCACCTCAGCACAGCAAGAGGGGACACCCCATGACCCTGTAGGGCTGTGGCCCTACACTGCTTCAAGGTGCTGGAATTATTTTATTGCATTAACTTATGTACATATGGAATCCAACAATGAAATATCATTAGTCTTGCTAGTGTATCAAAGCAAAAGGAAAATGTATTTTAAAACAAATCCAGTTATACTTAGGAAGCTGAAATCACTGATTCTATGCTTACAGCTATTCTTAAAATAAAGGAAAAGGACTGAAACCTTAGACGTGATCATGACCATATCTAAAAAGTACTGGTGTCAAAGATTTGGGATTTTTAAGTCTTCTTCTTTCTCCTTAAATAAGACTAAGATGAAAATTTTTATCCAGTTATTGAAGGGAAACAATAAGGTAAGTTCGGGTTTAGTTGGAACTGATCCTGCCATTATTTACAGGCTCTTGCAAAAAGGGAAGCCGTAGGGTCTTCAGATTATAACCTGCTTTGATTTCTTCTCCAGGTTTTTCCTGGTGGTGGTCAAGACTGGATGATGTAACTGGCTTTCTAGGAAGGCTCACTTGGCCATAGCCTCTGGAAGGTTCTCTTTGACCCCATCTCAATTCATAGTGACTTCTGAAGCCACTTGAGAAAAATGATGTGACAGTTCCTTATCAAAAAGGATTCTTCAGAAATATATACCATCTGAGAAGAAAGTGGCACTTTTTCCCTGCTTGCAAGATAGACATCCTCAAATTCCAAAATGCCAGCCAAGACGCCAATTTACCTGAAAGCAGCCAATAACAAGAAAGGAAAGAAATTTAAACTGAGGGACATTCTGTCTCCCGATATGATCAGTCCCCCGCTTGGAGACTTTCGCCACACCATCCACATCGGCAAAGAGGGCCAGCATGACGTCTTTGGAGATATTTCCTTTCTTCAAGGGAACTATGAGCTTTTACCTGGAAACCAGGAGAAAGCACACCTGGGCCAGTTCCCTGGGCATAACGAGTTCTTCCGGGCAAACAGCACCTCAGACTCGGTGTTCACAGAAACACCCTCCCCAGTGCTCAAAAATGCCATCTCCCTCCCGACAATTGGAGGGTCCCAGGCTCTCATGTTGCCCTTGTTGTCACCAGTGACATTTAATTCCAAACAGGAGTCCTTCGGGCCAGCAAAGCTGCCCAGGCTTAGCTGTGAGCCTGTCATGGAGGAAAAACCTCAGGAGAAAAGCAGCCTGTTGGAGAACGGGACAGTCCACCAGGGAGACACCTCGTGGGGCTCCAGCGGTTCTGCCTCTCAGTCCAGCCAGGGCAGGGACAGCCACTCCTCAAGCCTGTCTGAACAGTACCCTGACTGGCCAGCCGAGGACATGTTTGACCATCCCGCCCCCTGTGAGCTCATCAAGGGAAAGACTAAGTCAGAGGAGTCCCTCTCTGACCTTACAGGTTCCCTCCTCTCCCTGCAGCTTGATCTTGGGCCCTCACTTTTGGATGAGGTGCTGAATGTCATGGATAAAAATAAGTAACAGGATGCCAACTTTTTTCCTTTGGGGTAAAAGGTACAAAAAATAAACTAACTGCAGTGGAAGAGAAGGGCTTCCGGAGCTGTATTTGCAGTTTTGTGATGGGTTTTCTAAAATAATATTCTTACAAAGTATTTTTTTACCTGTTATGCTCTGTTTGCAAAAACAATTTAGAAAAACAACAACAAAGCAAAACGTATCTTGGCAAATCAGAGCCCACTTTCAGCAGGCATTGGTGATGTTCGGCTCATGTATTGTTTGCAGACACACAAGAAATCTGACTTGGCCAGGATTGGCACTAGCTCTGAAGGGCTGGGCGAGTCGCATTAAGGAACTTTACAGCACTCCGACATTTTCTGAGCAAGAGGAAGTCAAAAGTTATTTAACACCTAAGCCTTTTTTCTAGACTCTTTTCTATATATTGCTTGGGCTCACCATAGCGAATTCTCCAGTGTTAAAAACTTTTCTGTTTTCACATTTGAACTTTATGGGTTTTGGGGATTCTCTTGTAGTTCTTATATATCCCTATATATTATATCTATATTGCAAATTTTGACTGTCAGCTACTTGTTGGTAAGACACAGGCAAAGTATTACTGTAACTAAGTTATTTTTAAAGTTAAAATATATTTTTACGTGCCTTTGGCTTTTTATTGCAGAGTCTACATTTTATAGATCCTACATCAGATCTTGTCACTTGACTTGTTTCCATTGGGATTCCACTGTAAGCTGTGTATGTGTGTGTTTGGAAAAGTGTATTCATACTTAGTTTTTGCTTCATCTGTTATCATACTTTTAACAGCAACCAATAATGGATTGTAAAGTATAAAGGCACAGGTTATTCATGATGCTTCTGCAGAGACTGTGGGCTACACCACGTAATGTTATTTGGAAATATAGGTATATTAGTACAGTACATACTTGCATTACGTAGGTACTTCAAACAACACAATAAAGAGTAAATGATAAGTGAAAGTGAACTTGCTTGTTTACAGTAATAAACAAGACCATAAGAGTCTGAGTCTAGCTAGATAAATTGCTTCTCTGAAATGTACATGAGCCTTTAAAATAAGAGATGATTTCCATCTATTCTAATTTTGATTACTTCCTTATGGTTTGAGAGGCTAGAAACTGGGCCTCCCTACTTTAGGATAAATGAACATGTAAGGTCAAATTTTTTTCTTTTTAATGTCAGTACTGATCCACCCTCTCAGTGCTCATTTCTGAGCATCTTCCTAACTTGAACACCTTCTACAGCAAACTCTTGCAAGTCCAGTTTCATCCCTGTAGGACAAATGTCTGTTCATGCAGCAAGTGCCATATAGACAAGATTAAGGCAGCTAAAGCAGGAGCAGTAGAGAGCACTTACCCCACCCCAAGGTGCCAGAGATGCCCTGAGGATGTTGGTTAAAGAAACAGGAGCAGGAAATGTACACAGATTCCTGTCCCTTTGCCAACCACTCCTTCCCCGTCAAAGAAAAACACTTGCACCCAATAACTGCCAGCAACGTCTCTTAAACGTGTATTTCTCCTTGAAATGTATCTCAGAAATGACCTCCTCCCAACCACTTCAACAATTCTTTTTTTTGGGTTTTGGGTTCTTGCAGTTCTATCGTCTAAAATAACCTTTGGACTGCAGGTGAAATGTAATTAGGACAACTTACCCAGTAGACAAAACAAGTTCCCCTAGGCAGGGGCATCCAGTATTTTGTCTTCCCTGGGCCACAGTGGAACAATTTTCTTGGGCCCCATGTAAATATGCTAACACTAACCATAGTTGATGAGCTTTAAAAAATTTTTTAAAAAACTGCAAATAAAATGTTTTAAGAAAGTTTAAAAATTTTTGTTGGGCCTATGTGGACCATAGGTTGGACAAGCTTGCCCTAGGGCATTGCGTGCTTTCCTTAACTTCCCAGTTGTATTCATTATCCGTGACTCTGCAGTGTTCTTCTTCTGTTGGACCACACCCATAACACTTCACAGTTCCAAACAGAAACTTCCCAGCCTGTTCTAAATCTTGTTAATGAGGAAGAGTCCAATGTATCTCATTATTGGTAGCCAATTTTAGACTCTTTTAATATCTCCCCCCATTTTAATTAGTATTGACCATATTCAGTTTTTCATTTTGCTCTTCATCTGTAGCATGACCTCAAGGTAAAGATTATTTCATGAGAGGATGAGGAGCACGGCTGTGCATTAGCTCTGCTCCCTCTCTGGTAAGTACTGGGGAGAGAACAGCCCTGCCAGTACGGGGTTTGTTTGATGGAGTCTAAATAATTGAACATCCTGCCCACAGTTAGCCATTTTAGTTTCTGGGAGTCCTTTCATATATTTTTTTTCTATTAATTGAATTAGGTGTAATTGAGATGGCAATAAATATGGCCCATTAGAAAAAGGAAACAAAGCTACATCCGGCTTACAAATGATTTTGTTGAGTCACTTCTCCCAAGGCAGGCTTTCCAGTGCCCAGTCCCTTCCGCAGAGAGCAGATGGACAGCTGGTGGTGGCTTTCCTTCCTGCAAAGAGGCACTTTAGACTCACACCTGCTGTGAGCTGAATTGATGTTCTCATCCTGTGAACCTTCTCCCACTTTAACGTAGTTTATATTTACTTGTTTAAAGAAAAGGAAACCGAAGATGTACTTGATTTGCAAACTCAAAGCAAATGGCAAACCACCTGTGACCCAATAACCAGAAAAAAAAAAAGGTGCCATTTGTATAAGTAGAGACCCTTCTTGTTGAGGAAAGCAAGACTCTTGTGGGTGATTTTTTTCCCCCTAGTGAGACCTAACAAAAGACAAGCTGTATTATTTCTACCTGAAATTATCCGCTTGAAAAGATTAATATATCCGGATACTTAGCTCTTCACAAATATGGAGTCATTCACACATTTCAGTGAGCCGGAAATCACTGTTAACAGCACACACAAAAGACCACTGGTTGAACAGCAAAGAACCCAAGTCTCCAGAACCACAATTTAGTCCTGTATTACTGCAAGTGACCTGTCTTTTCTAAATGTTCTCTGCAAATGAAGTCCTGGAATGGAAAAAATCCATAAGTCCATGAATTAATTAACTTGATAAATATTTTAGAACATACAAAAGAAAATACTGAATGATACAGTTCTAATCCTCCTCTTAATATGGAACCTGGTGAGACTATCATTTTACCATGAAATATATAAACACAATAGTATGAGCCAACATGGTTTTCTCTCCAGTAAGAGTGTTTCTTTTGGAAATTAGGTTAATAACCTAGCCCCAAATCTAGCAATTCTCATAAACAAAACCCCATTTTAGAATTAGCCTCCCAGATTAATCTGAATGATTGACTTATTTTTTCTTAGACAAGTCAATACGCCATAGAATCAGGGTTATTGGGTGCTGCCCTCTGTCCCCACCCATTACAGAGCCCTATCTAGCAAAGTTAAGGAAGCTTCCAGATGCCAAATGTCAAGCCACTATCAACTCAGAGGGAAAACCTTCTGGTTGATTTGGCTGTGAGATTCAAGAAGGCCAGAATACCCAAAATTATTCACACACGTTAACGTATTGGTACTGGCTAAACAATATATGTATTCCCTAAAACAGGAGATGATCTTTCTGGTAGATTTATGGACACATTTGTTTCATCTGACTGTAAATATATTGCATGCTTTATTCTGATGGTGCACTGTTTCATCCAGCAAGCTTTTCATCTGAAAATGTTTAACATTGACCTTATTCTTAGAGCAAGTAGATCTAAATATTTTTCAGCTGAGTTGTTAGGGAGTCATTATTCTGTGGTAAAATGCTGCAAAAAACGTGGAAGACTGGGAACTATGCTTACTTTATGAAGTGATGTATAACAATGAAATCTGTTTTACAACTACTGTGCTGTATTTAATTATCTTCCATTTTTGCTTTAAAAAAATTTTCATTAATGATGTCACTTCCATTGGCTTCCAATGGAGGTCAGTAAATCCACTCTCTGAAGGTCAGCCAAATTTCCTTCATGGAAAGCAGATTGACACGGGTGATAGATAAAAACATCTGCCCAAACCAAAGCCATCGTGCAGAATATAGTTAATATTCCAGAGACCCATCACGCAGACAGAGATGTCTGCCATACATCAAAATGAGCAAAGCTGAGTAAGTGAAGTGGATATTATGCTCACCATAAAGTGATTATTGGAGTATGTCACAAAGTATGCACATGATTCATTGCCAAAAGGATTGGGAAGAAAGAGCTTTGAGTGGGGAGGGAGAGACATGAAGCAGTTTCATGGAAGAGAAGGACCCAAAAGGTACCTTGAGGGACTGCTGAGATCATTTTAGGGAGAGGGGACATTCTTGGAAGGAAAAGAGTATTATGAGCAAAGCAAAGGATACACTCACACCCTAGTAGTGTTTCTACTCAAAACAGTCCAGGAATAGGGATTGGAGTAAAAAATGCCCACATTTAGGTCTGAAAGATTGGGACCCATTCCTAGGAAGACTCCAGTGGAAGAAGAAAAGATTCTGGAATCAGACTGCTGAACAGGTGGTTCCCAGGGTAGATGTTTGTATAAAATTACCAGCATTTTATGGAAGCTCATTCCCAGTCTATAATGTCCATTCAGAGACCTGAAGGCCAGAGTAGGGACACCTCAATAGTGAGGCTGACGTAAGGTGCTCAGGGAAAGTCATTTAGGAAGATGAAGGAAGTGAGAGGGCCAAGTGTCTCCTGAAACAGCTCCAGATAAAGCAGGTTGGCATTAACAGGTCCTGGGCTGAACACACTGGGTAGCTGGCCCACCAGCAGTATCCCCAGGAACTTTTTTTGAGACAGCGTCTCACTCTGTCACCCAGGCTGGAGTGCAGTAGCACGATCATGGCTCACTGCAACCTCCGCCTCTGGGGTTCAAGTGATTCTCCTGCTTCAGCTTCCTGAGCAGCTGGGACTACAGGTGCCCACCACCATGCCTGGCTAATTTTTGTATTTTTAGTAGAGGTGGGGTTTTACCATGTTGGCCAGGCTGGTCTCAAACTCCTGACCTCAAATGATCCACCCAACTTGGCCTCCCAAAATGCTGGATTACAGGCGTGAGCCACTGCGCCTGGCCCCAAGAACTTCTTTCAACCCATCTTTTCCAAGGCTGGCTTATACTTTGAGTATCCCCAGGATAAGGAAGAAAGCTCCCCAGGAAACAGGATAATCCAAATGTCATTAAAGTGTCTCCTGGGTCATTAGAACCCAAGAGGGCCAGTTCTGGCATACAACATAGGAAAAAATTCAATTGAGTAGAAACAAACAGCCCCGAATTTCTCTCAAACTCCTTGAAGTCCACACTCATGAAACTGAGGCTCAGGAGCAGAAGCCCCAGGCTTCTGAGGACCTGCCTTAGAGGGGTGATATCTGGACTGTCTACCCCTCAGGGAAGCTCACATTCACTCCCAGGTTGAGTCCTTACCTGCTACACATGTCAGCAAGATGGTCATATCAGCATAGCACAAGGTCCCCAACGTTTGCACCACAAATACCCACCAAAATACAGATGGTTCCCAACTTAGGATGGTTCTAAGTTGAAAACACATTTTCTACCCTTGATATTTTTCAACTTACAATGGGTTTATCGGGATGTAGCCCCCACCATAAGTCAAGGGTCATCTGTAGTGAAAAGATTCTTTCATTATATTTGGGTCCTGAAAATCCCAACAAAGAAACCCTTTGAGGCACTGCTTCCGTAGAAAATTCCTATCTTTGAGTGTAAATTGGTTCCGCCATTGTGGAAGACAGTGTGGTGATTCCTCAAGGATCTAGAACTAGAAATACCATTTGACCCAGCAATCCCATTACTGGGTATATACCTAAAGAATTATAAATCATTCTGTTATAAAGACACATGCACATAGATGTTTATTGCAGCACTGTTCACAATAGCAAAGACTTGGAACCAACCCAAATGTCCATCAATGATAGACTGGATAAAGAAAATGTGGCACATATACACCATGGAATACTATGCAGCCATAAAAAAGGATGAGTTCATGTCCTTTGCAGGGACATGGATGAAACTGGAAACCATTATTCTCAAGAAACTAACACAAGAACAGAAAACCAAACACCACATGTTCTTACTCATAAGTGGGAGTTGAACATTGAGAACGTATAGACACAGAGAAGGGAACACCACACAGTGGGGACTCTCAGGGTGCGGGGAGGTGCTCAGGGAGAGAGAGCATTAGGAGATGTAGATGACAGGGTAATGGATGCAGCCAACCACCATGGCACAGGTATACCTATGTCACAAACCTACATGTTCTACACATGTACCCCAGAACTTAAAGTACAATAAAAAAAAGAAAATTCCCATCTTTAAGTCCCAGAAAATGTGCATTGAAACTCCAAAGGATGTCATTCTCATACCCATGGCCAGCCTTGTTACAAGTGAAATAGGCAGAACCTGCATGACCCTAGAAAAACAGTACTGCTCAAAAACATTTCTCCTACACTCAGCTGCCCCAGGGCTGGAAAATCCACCCTTGGAGATGGGTTCTTGTTTGGGTGAGGCTTTCTATTAGGCATGGAGTCCCCATAGAATAATTCCAGGAGTAACAGCATCTGCAGGCCACCAACAATGAATGTGTGAACTCACTCATCAGATGCCCCCTGTAGGAGCACAAGTCTCTATCTAGCAACTGGCCTGGGGCAAGGGAGCAAGAGAAACCAGGAAAAGCATGAAGAGTGAATTCACATAATGCATAATTTGCCTGGGACCAAAACAAAACAAAACAAAAAAGGGCAGTGAAGCATCCATGAGCTTTTCTAAGAGATTTACCTGAGAGCAAATGTGGCCTTCAACAGAAGAGATAATGAAGGTTATTGTTGGCTGATCTCACTAGTGCCAGAAGAGTTCATGCAACCATTGCAATTATACCTAATTTTGAATCAAGCAAATTAGATGGTACAGGAGATTAATATAAAACTCTCAATGACTGACATGTTTCCATTCATCCCACAGGACAGAAAGCTTCAAGACAGTAATAACTTTGACGCCAAATGCTCATGTTTCAAGTCACTGTCTAGTCTTTCCTCTGCTTCACCCCCCGCTCTTAACAGTAGCATCTTAGTGACATGATTTCATTGAGGAGATTATGATTTTCTCCTGAAGTCTCCTTTGTAAGTTCTTTCTGTGTTCTAAGGTAAACCATTAGCAATGCCCCAGAAACAGATGAAATTTCAGAAAGCTTGAAACGACATTAAAAATTACATAGTGAGTTTTTCAGAATAAGCAGTAATGTTCAGACACAACTTTGTACAGTAAGCAGGGGCATTGTTAAAAGTAGAAGGTAACTGGTAATTTTCTTCCAAACCTGACTCCTATTGCATGAAAATGAAATTAGGACAGGACTAGAAACAAGGAACAAAACACTTGTGGTGTTCTGGCAGATTTTTCACCATAAACGGCAAGAAGAGCAGACAAACACAATCTTAGATAGATATTAGATTAGCCGCCAATAAAGTCCTCCCATCCCAGTACCAGACCACGGCTCCTCTGACTAAATAAAGCACTGTTTGTGAATCTCCGCTATGCAGTAATTTCCCTCTTTTAAAAAAATAATAAAATGGTAGGTTCACCGTTGATTAAAATTGTTCATTTTCAGCACAGTTGGTACTCTGGACTTCATAAACATGTTGAATATTCATCAGGTACCTTAGGTAATGGAGAGGAAAAATTGTAAAAGTGTCATGATAGCAAAATACAGACAAGAAGCAGACCTGGTTGTGTAAGACCAGGGGAAGCAGGGCCTTCTTACCAGAGCCCACACTCCTGGAGACTTCTAACCAGAAGTAAACAAAGTATTCAAAGTGAAATGGATTCCAGGAGTGGGGTGCCCACCCCCCTAACCAGCCATGAGATAAAAATACATGGGAGAAACTCTTTCTTCCTACCCGGATAATCTGAAACCTCACCTCCCCAGGGAGACTCCTTGGCTCCCTAGTCCTCAGGTCCTCCCCTCAAGCAAAGGTCATGGGGGAGGACAGAGCCAAGAGTCTAGATTATGGTATGGAGGGTGTGATCCTGCCGAACACGCACAGCAAAAACAGCTTTGTGTCTCCTGCCCATCCAACAGGTGCTCTTCTGATAGGTCGACTCCACTGTGTAAAACGTCAAATGATATATTATGAACAATACTCCTGTGGTCAGTGGAATAATGGCCCCCAAAGATAGGAGCTTCTATGTCTGAAACCTATAAAATTACCTTATTTGGTAAAAGAGACCTTACAGATAGGATTAAGTTAAGGATCTTGAGATGGGGCATTATTCTGGCTTATCTGGATGGGCTCTAAGTGCAATCACCATTGTCCCTATAAGAGAGAGGCAAAGAGGGCCACGTGAGGTGGCTCATGCCTGTAATCCCAGCACTTTGGGAGAACGAGGCAGGCAGATCACGAGGTCAGGAGATCAAGACTATCCTGGCTAACATGGTGAAACCCCATCTCTACTAAAAATACAAAAAATTAGCTGGATGTGGTGGTGTGGGCCTGTAGTCCCAGCTACTCGAGAGGCTGAGACAGGAGAATCACTTGAACCTGGGAGGTGGAGACTGCAGTGAGCCAAGATTACACCATCGCACTCCAGCCTGGGTGAAGAGTGAGACTCTGTCTCAAACCAACAAACAAAAAAAGGGTGGCAAAGGGAAATTTGACAAGAGGAGTAGACAATGTGACCACAGAGGATGGAGTGATGATGTATCCAGAAATCAAGGAATACCGCCAGCCACCAAAAAGTGAAAAAGGCAAGGGTCAGATTTCTCCCTAGAGCCTCTGGAGGGAGTACAGCCTTGCTGGCAGCTGAATTTCAGCCCAGTGATGCTGATTTCAGACTTCCGGCCTCTAGAACTGTGAGACAATAAATTTCTGTTGTTTTTAGCCACCATGTTTTTAGTAATTTGTTAAAGCAATTATAGGAAACTGATGCAATACTCAAGCACTGGAGAAAATACAGAAAAATGGAGAATGTTATGGATAATGTAGTGGACTGAATTGTGTTCCCTGAAAACTCATATGTTGAAGCCCTAGCCCTCAGTGTGACTATATTTGGAGCTAGGGCCTTTGAAGAAGTAATTAAGGTTGAATGAGCTCATCAGGGTGGGTCCCTAATTGGATAGGGCTCATGTCCTTATAAAAAGGGGAAGAGACACTAGGGATGCACACATAGAGGAAAGGCCATGGGAGGACACAGCAAGAAGGTGGCCATCTGCAAGCCAAAGAGAGGTCTCAGGAGAAACCAAACCTGCTTGCACCTTGACCTTAGACTTCCTGCCTCCAAAACTGTGAGAAAATCAGTTTCTGTTGTTTAAGTCACCCAGCTCACGGTATTGGCAATTACAGCCCTAGCCAACTAATACAGAGGGTTAACAGGGAAAACACCTTTGAAGAGTTAGGTTCTTTAAGGAGATAAGGCCAGGATGACCCCATCTCCCTGGACCTTAGTCTTCCCTGTAAGATGAGGTGTTTACACTGATTTAGTGGTGCTCTGGCTGGTGACAAGGAAGAATAGAACATTCCAGGCAGAGAATCAGCAGGAGAAAAGTCTAGCCCTGCCCTAACATTACCAGAAAGCATCTCCTGCTATGAGAGCACAAGAGAAAGCTGCTTTCCTGTGGCACATGTTCAGGCAGGGTAACACAGTGTCTAATCAGACACAGGTGTGGTGCCTGAGCCCACAGGCTAGGTAGAGGTAGCCCACAGGCTACCTTTAGGAGGGTCACCATCACTCACAGTTGATTGCTGGGGTTAACCTTAGTCAAGCATATTCATAGTGGGCAGACTTAGGGCAGATGGAGGGAAATAAAGTATTTAAAACATGTTTTGAGGTTTGTTTCCAGCCCCAGACAGCATTTGATATGGGCAGAGGCCAGATTCAATCTCTCTTATCCAGATAACAACCAAAGAAAAACAGAAAGACTGCAGAGAGGATGCTCGGTTGTTTCTAGGGAGATCGTCTTCCAAGATCTCTTTGCCTAAGAAGGGCTTCTTCCACACACATGCCAGGCAAAGTTGAATAGGCCTTCCCAGTATGCAGAGGGCAAATTGAAGAAGAGGCCAGAGGGTTTACTGAGACCCAACAGTGATGCAAGGGCCATTTAAATACCATTCAGGAAGCCAAGTGACAGACAGCCAGCCAGTATGCTGGAGGTGAAGCCCCACCAGGCAGTGCTTCCCACATCATGACAAAGAAAATTATGACATTCGGACAGCACTATGGGGAAATAAAAGAGTTGTTGTGGCTGGCCCAGGCCCCACCTACCTGCCACAGGTGCTGGAGGTACAATGCCTCAGTGGCCTCATAGCACATCTGACACCTAAGCTTTGCATTGTGGAAAGCTTCTCCTTAGGGCACAACATCTCACTGGCCCCTATTTACAGGACTACCCTGCAGCTCTCCTGAAGGTTCCAAGTCCTCTCTGAAGGCACAAGTGGGTGAAGAAGTCAGGATACCAAATGTCGCACCAGGTGAGGCATGACTGCCCTAGTGGCAGTGGGGGGTAGCAGTGACAGGGGCACAGCAAATCCTTTATCTCTGGCAGGAAAGATATGGTTTGGCTGTGTCCCCACCCAAATCTCATCTTGAATTTGTAGTTCCCATAATCCCCACGTGTCGTGGGAGGGAGCCAGTGGGAGGTAATTGAATCATGGGGTGGTTAACCTCATGCTGTTCTCATGATAGTGAGTTCTCACACCAGATCTGATGGTTTTATAAGAAGTTTTCTCCCTTTACTCTGCACTTCTCTCTCCTGCTGACATGTGAAGAAAAACATGTTTGCTTCCCCTTCTGCCATGACTGCAAGTTTCCTAAGGCCTCTCCAGCCCTGCAGAACTGTGAGTCAATTACATTCTTTCCTTTATAAATTACCCAGTCTTGGGTATTTCTTCATAGCAGCAAGAGAACAGACTAACACAAGAGGTGAACAAACCTGGAGCAAACCCAGAAAAGTCTGGGAGTCCCAGGAGCCAACTGGAAAGAGAAAAAGTATTCGGCGTGACAGAGATAAGAGAAGGAGTAGAACTGAGACTCTGCCTTTGATTACATGACAACAGTCTTTACCAGTCTCACTGACTGACGGGGCTTCTGCGGAGAATATGCTCAAGTCCCTCCCTCTGAAAACCAAACAGAGCTTTGTCTCAAGTCTGTGAGCTGCTTCCAGAACCTCGAGAGGGGCGTTTACACCAATGTCTCCATTTGCTCACCTCACATTCACTGAAGTCACTTTCCTCTGGATCTACTGCCACCATTCACTGAAGCTGTGCTCAGCAGTCACCAATGAACCACTTTCCTGAAGACACAGATGTTCCCCACCCCACGTTCCTTCCTTCTCTGCAGCACCTGACTCTCCTGGGCACTGCTCCTCCTCACTTTCCTTCTCTCTGGTTTTCCTCCTCTCCAGCTACACCACTATGAATCCTTCCTGGTTCTTCTGCTACTGACCCCATTGCTACCATGCACCCTGGGGTCATTCTCATTCTTCTGTTTGGTGATGTCTGGTTTTACAGCTTCAACTGCAAGCTATTTACTGATGACTCCTGAATCTCTATCTCCTGCCCAGATACAACTACTAGGCTTCAGACCTGAATATCCGGATGAGCTCTGGACATCTCTGCTTGTTTGGCCTGCCAGAATGCCAAATTTACCATATTTCAAATTGAGTTCACCACCACCAACAACAATATGCTTCCATCCTCTTCCTCCTGTGCTTGTGAGTGATAATACCGTTCAGCCAACTTTTCAGGACCAAATCTGGGAGGTGACTCCTTTTTTCATACAACCCTCTTCTTTTGCCTCCTAAATATTTCTCATGCCCAGCCTCTTTTCTCCAGTCCCACTGCCACTGAATTCATTCACATCCTCATCATACCTTGCTTCTATTATATAGCTACAGATTCCTAACTATTTCACTGTCTTTAGTATGACCCCTGCCATTTTTTTTTTAATTTTGTGGGTGATGGGATCTAAAACTATTTTTTAGATACCTTTTTTAAAAAAATTCTAACCTTCTCTAACTGAATATCTAAACCCATAAAGTCCCAAATTAACAAACTTCAGAAACTCTCCTTTACCATATAAAGCCCAAATTCCTAAGCTGGTAATACAACGCCCTTCATGAACTCTTTGTGCTAGTGGCACAACCTGGACATAAAATCCACTGAATAAATGAAAGCCACTCACTCTGCCCAACACCCCAATTCATACCAAGAAGGTAGAATTAGATCTATGCTGCTAAGGGTAAAGTGGGTTAGCAGTATTAGTCTGTTCTCACGCTGCTAATAAAGACATAACAGAGACTGGGTAATTTATTAAACATAAAGGGGAGAGATTTAATTGACTCACAGTCCTGCAGGGCTGGGGAGGCCTCAGAAAACTTATAATCATGGCAGAAATGGAAGCAAACACATCCTTCTTCACATGGTGGCAGCAAGGAGAAGTGCAGAGAAAAGGAGGTTAAAAAGCCCCTTATAAAACCATCAGATCTCATGAGAACAGCATGGAGGTAACTGCTCCCATGATTCAATTACGTCCCATCGGGTCCCTCCCATGAAACATGGAGATTCTGGGAACTACAATTCAAGATGAGATCTGGGTGGGGACACACAAACCACATCAGAAGAGGAAAGAAGATAAGCAGCCTGAGTGGGGTACTTCATTCAGAACTTCTTCCTTTACAGCTCAACTTACTTAAAACAGAGATCAGTTCTCTCTTTTCCCTTCCTAGCAGCTGATGGGATAAGATTGGATGGAGGCCTTATCATTGGAAAGCAGCATCCTTTTTCCTGTCTCTTAGAAAACCAAGCAGAAACCAGAGTCCAGGAGAGAGCATCTGAACATGTCATCTCGACTGCTTCTGAGTTCAGAGGAGGCAAAGTGTTCTTACATCTTGTCCACAGATTGGCTGAGGTTCGTGACCTGGAAAAGGCTCTTATGCAAGGTGTTAGCTGGTAATAGCCTGTTCTTTTGCTGGAATATTCCTCAGGAAGGTAGGGTGGTAGCAGGAAACCAGACAGGATTTGAGTTTTTAGGATCCTGCCTATCTTATTCTTTGTAGATGTGACTAACCAGCAGGTCTTCAAACTGCCAATCGTTGGGCCACCCGACATTATACCGGCTCTCCTAAAAGTACGTTATGTAGCCCTAATAACCTAGAGCTCCGTGAGGACTGACTTCACTGCAGTTACAGTGAAAAAACAAATCAAGATGTAGCAGCAAAGAGAAACTAAAGCATTTGGAATATTTATATTCTTCTCTTAAAGAACTCCAAAGGAAATCTAACTCATAATCCATAGCTCTGCCAGAATTTTCCTGGAGGGTGTGGTAGAGAAGAGGAAGAGGGGCTATGAAGACTTATGCATTAGTCTTTTTTATCTATTGTATTGCATAATAAATTGGTCTATAATCACACAGAAGGTCTTTGCCTTAAGTTCTTATTACCTCTCACACTTACTGTAAGAGCCTCCGATTCCAGCAGTGCCCACTCTAAGTCACCACACTGCCGAAAGGTCCTTTACAAGGTCTCCATAGCTAGGAGATAAAGTCCAAACAAACTCTTGAAAATGACACACAAGTCCTTTTGCCTTCTGGCCTCAATCTACACATCCTCCATCGCTCATGCCACCAGTCACACACATTTAGCTTCTCCCTCATTTACCATTGCAGACCTCCCAAATACCAGTCCTTTCAGCCTCTGTATCTTTGCATGAACTTCTTCTCTTTTCCTAACCCATTAAAACCTCTTTCACTTCTATGAAGCTTGTGTTAGAATCAGTTGTTCCCTCCTCTTGGGCTGCACTGCACTTTGCAGAGGCCCCTCAATTCAGTGGGTGTCTCACAGTGATACAACCAAGTTCATCCTCCTGGTGAGAGGGCACATTCCTCCAACCTGACTCTCAGACCAGCACAGGAGCTGTTGTTGAATGAAGAATGAAGGAATGAGTAAACAGATAAAAAGCAGAGACTAAAATTAATGCTTACCAAACAAGAATTTATTAGTCCACAAGAAATGGCTTATCAGGAATCTTTACTAGGTACAAGAAATGCCATAAGTTCTGAAAAAGAGTTTTGAAAAAAGAACAAAGTGCTATGCATTTTGCCAATGTATTAAATTGACACAGAGTCTAATAGGACTGAAGCATTTTTAAAAATATATACTTACAAATATTTCTATGGATCTGGATTGTTTTTCCATATTTACAAGCTTTAGTTGTTTACCTTATAAAAGAAAATAGCCCTATAGAAAGTTGTTATTGTTTGCTTCAATAAGATACAGCCATTACAGGCTTTTAAAATGTTGTTGGCTTAAAGGACAAGAATATGACTTGGATCCTGCAAGCAATTGGAGTTCTCAACAAGCCAAACAAACATTTTTAATCAGCATTAGTGCTTTAAGAAATTTTTAATCTGACACTTAAGGGACACTAATGTACAAATTGGCAAAAAGGAAAATAAAAACCTGTCACCTTTCCCACACATTATCTAAATGTGCTAAGGCAAATGCATTTCAGATAGCCTGCCCTGCTGTGCATGAACACATAATAGGATACACATCATCAGCGACCAAGTGTATATTTTAATTGCTGTCACCAGCTATTTCTACGACAGCCAAATAGTGTCAGAAATCAAGAAATATAAATTGTCTGTGAAAACAAATAGGGACAACATGTACGAATTGACTATAGTGCCTCCTGATCCAAAGCAAAAAGAAAAAAAAATGGATCTTAGGCTATCCAAATATTTTTAAATGAAATGTTATTTTAGTTCAATAGCTTTCTATAGTCAGAATGTAGACACATGGGGATGAATTACACCTGCCAACCCAGATATCTCATCCAGCACTGCAGCTGTTACAAACCACAGGATACTTGATCCATAGGCAAGTAAAGAATCAAGTTCTAACCACAGACACTCAAGAGAACACAAATAAGGCTTCTAAAAGAGTTTCCACTTGTGCCATCCTGGGCATCTCGACGTCCTTAGCATACTGTAACCTGATTATCCAGACAAGACCTGAGAATGAAAAGCAAGTAATCTTGGACTCTCTCCTGTATCAGATACGTAGCCCTCTATTTCGTGAGATTTGTAGTTCTTAAAGACAAAGACAAATTCTGTATAAACATGCTGCTTGTACATTAAAACAAAATGTTTCTCAGTTGTGTGCATATGTAGAGAGTGAGTGTGTGTGGGGGGGTATGAAAGAGTGTGAGAGAATGTCTGACAGGCTAAGACAGGCAGATGACCAGAGAGACAGAAAGAAAGGCAAAATTACCTGCTTGGAAAGAAGTTGAGGGCTACAAATATTACAAAGCACAATGTGATTTTTGAAGAGGAGGAAAGAACATCCTAAATGAGAAGAAAACCTATGGGAAAGTACCAATGTGAAGAAAGACAGGAGAAACTACAAGAGTAAGTGAAAGCAAGCGTGACCTCACAGAAAAGAAAATGAGGTGACACCAAGTAGGGAATTTTTATGGTATGTGTCCCTGGAAAACATTTTCTGCCAAGTCCCTGTCTGTATAAAGAATTTGATTTTTTTAATGTTTTACAAAATTCAGAGGCCTGAGTCATGATTTATCAATGAAGACTTAGAATAATGGGTAAAGAAGAGGTATTTTTGTACTGCTTATTGTTCAGTATAAGGGAAGATTTTTCATAGTGTCAAGGCACCATCACTTTCTGTGCAGATGCCAGAATCCTCTGTATTTTTTATTGTCAGATGTGCTAATTCCACATTTCTCAATGGGAGAAAAGGGTAGCAATGCTGTTATTACAACACTGTGGCTCTTCGGCATTTGTTTGTATTGAAACAGATTTTCTGGCCTCTGCATTTCCTTAGTATCATTTATTTAATGCAGGTTATATCATCAGTCATGATGCTGTGTCATCCCTGCTGCCACCCAGAATCCTGGCTTCCAATGATGCTCTCAAGGGAGGGTGGGCGGTTACTGTGCTTTGGAGATGAGGACCGCAAAGTCAAGTCTTGCCCAGAGTATGCAGGAAAATGTGAATGTTAATTTATTTTCTGAGAATGTTAAATTCACTGTTTGAAAATTTATGGCATAAATATAGAACAGCACATTTTCTGACCATATCATCTCTTGAACTCCCTAGGGTAATTCCAGCATTCCTAGAATGTGATTTCTTTTAATGTTTACAGCACAGCACCTTTGCCTTCCACACACTATCACCACGGGGAGGTGGGGGGATCCCACGGGTAGAAAAAGAAGAGTGGTCCTATTTGTGTAAGAAATGTCCATCTCTCACCAACATGGCCTAAGCACAGAGGGTACATGTCAGCACCTTGACATAGGCAACACATTGGAGGGCCTCAAGCAGAAGGGTCTGCTAGCATTGCAGAGCAATGTCAGATATTCTTTGGGGATAGACAATGCTCTGGAAGAATGCTCAGGGAAAAGGTTTGACTTTCCTGGTGCCAGTGATGGGAGGGGCACAGGGGAGAGGGTGAATGATACCACCTTCACTGCCCTGGGGTGCTGAAGAATGGAAGCCACTATTTATTTGGACATGGACGTGCGAGACTCAACACATGGACCCCACATGTGGCTCTAGTCAAGGCTGGCAGTGGGCCAAGATAACCTCAGAGCCCTGAACTTATGGCTTTTGTGTAAGTGAGTGTCATCAACATCAGCATGTCTGTACTTGCCTGGTGACTCAACAAGAAAAACTGGGCTATTCTGGGAGCAGTAGCTCACCAGGTCACCCACCTGGAATCAGGGACAGGTCAAGGACCCCAAAATAAACTCACAGATATGAGTTGTGAAGCTCCTTGGGGCATTAGGTCAACCCCACATGAGGGTTGGGAAGTAATACTGGTCCCAGGTGAGGGCACTCTGCCCAGATAGCACTGCTACTCCAGCTGTTCCCAGAGGAAATTTGGCAATGTTGAAGGAGGCACCCCGAGATGCAGGGCCTGGGACAGACAGCCGGGGTCCAAGGCCTGTACTGACATGAAGGATGACCAGCCACATCTGTTACCAATGGGAAGAGTTATGGAGGAATTCGAGGTACAGGGCAGTTAAGCAAAATGTCCAATATGCAGCTACTAAGTGGTAGAATCTGATCTGAACCCAAACAACTCTGTGCTGTTAAACTATCTAAAAAGATGATGGACTTTGTAGTCAAACAGTTCAGGATTTGAATCACTACCCTGACAATTACTATTCTGTGACCTTGGGGTAAAGCAGAAATAACAGTACCTACGCTCCATTGGCTTGTTTTGCAGGAATCAACTAACTTCTTCTATAAAGGGCCAGATGGCAAATTCTTTAGGCTCTGTAGTCCATAATCTCTGCTGCTACAGCTCAATTCTGCAGCATAAAAGTAGCCAGACAATGCATAATTGAGTGAGTGTTGCTGTGTTCTAATAAAACTGTACAAAAATAGATGGTGCGTTGAGTTTGACCCACAGCCCTTAGTTTGCCAACTACTTGTTTTGAGAACTAATTCTAATCATACCAATAAAGGTTTTATAACAGTTACCTGCCTTGGTAAACATTCAATATATATTAGTGCTATTATTATACCAACAAAAAGTCTATACTTTATACTTGTTGGTTTAAGGTTCTGGTGTGCCTGCCACTTTTTTAGTCTAATTATTTTATAGTTACGTTGTACATACTTGAAGGAAAATGAGTGAATAAATGTTTCAGTGCTCAAATTCTTCCTTATTACTGTTATTTTTTCAAAACTTTTTAGAGTTATTTTCCACAGAAAACCATCATTGTTTTTAAAATATGTGAGTCAAAGGAGCTAATGTCTCTTAGTGTAGCTTTATATTTTTAAAATAAAATGTTTCCATTGCTTCATATTTCCATTTCAGTAATATAAAATTGTATATGCTACAAATCAATTTTTTCAAATCTACATAATGTTTATGTAAGGCATAAATAATCAGTTTTATCGTCACTTATTAGTGATTCCCAGAGTCATTTACAGATACCATTGTTTACTGGGAATCTACACAGCATCTTTCTTTCGTGAGCAGCATTTCTTGTCTTTGGAAGATGATTTTTTTCTCCATTTTATTCCTTTGGTTTAAAATAGCTACTATCGGTGTCAACTGGTCCTGGGGGTGAGCACTGGGTCCAAGCTGTCAGGGGTGAGGGTTGGTTGCTTCTACTGGTCTTGTTTTCAACTATCAGGAGGATGCCTGTCAGACAGAATGGAACCAACAAGTACAGAAAAGCAGAGGCCAGGGATGGTGAGACAAAGGCTTATGATCATTGACTCCTCATCCAAATTATTCCTAAGGTCCAGCCACAACCCTTTCTTCCCATGGTTTGGTTATGAGAGACAAGAATTCATTTTCTGCCTAGGCAAGGTTCCCTTTTTGACTATGGCATCACCCTTGAGTGATGTGAATCAACTCCACTTGGGTTA